CAAGAAAGGAGATTCCTTCTGAACGTTAGGAAGAACTTCCTGACTGTGAGAGCTGTTTAGCAGTGGAACTCTCTGCCCTGCGGTATGGTGGAGACTCCTTCTTTGGAGGCTTTTAAGCAGAGGCTGGATGGCCATCTGTCGGGGGTGCTTTGAATGCAATTTTCCTGCTTCTTGGCAGGGGGTTGGACCTGATGACCTACGAGGTTTCTTCCAACTCTAGGATTCTATGAATGCTTGGTCACACATCCACATCTTTACCCATTTCCTAAAGGTCAGGAGGGAGGGGGCTGATCTAATTTCACTCGGGAGGGAGTTCCATATCCGAGGGCCACCAATGAGAAGGCCCCATCTCTTGTCCCCACCAACTGCATTTGTGAAGAAGGTGGGATCAAGAGTAGAGCCTCCCCAGAAGATCTTAACCTCCTTGCTGGCTCATAGAGGGAGATACATTCGGGCAGGTAAGGTGGGCCAGAACCATTTAGGTCTTTATAGGCTAAAGCCGGCACTTTTGAATTGTGCTTGGTAGCAGACTGGCCAGTGGAGCTGACATAGCAAGGGAGTTGTGTGCACCCTGTACCCATCTCCAGTGAGAAATCTGGCTGCTGCACATTGGAACTACTTGAAGCTTCCGAACAGTCTTCAAAGGCAGTCCCACATACAGCGTGTTGCAGCAGTCTATTCGGGATGTAACACTTTGCCTTTTTCCGAAAGTGGAATGCAAACCAGCTCCCCAAAACACACCCTTTGGTAGAAGCATGTCTTGAGCCTATCATGGCTACAGGCCATCATGTTTCCTTTAGGCAAGAGCGAGAAAAGCAGCAACTCTCAAAACTTCATTTTTAAAAAATGCCCAGGTAAGCTTTTGTATCGGACCATCATAAAAGCTCAGAAGGATGCCACTTTGCTTAGATGTACCAATTTTCAGAGCCCTGCTGTGATTCCCATTCTTTCCCTCTCCATTCATCCATCTGAATCTCTCTCTCTCTCTCTCTCTTTCTCACACTGAGAACAGTAGTCCGCGGCCTATTCTATGACCTACATGTGATGCCTGCATGCATCAGGTTCTTTTCTTAAGACTCCTGATGAAGTGGCTGCAGCCCTCCCTCCCACTGTCACAGCCCCTACGGCTTGCGCCAGGCGGCTTTGAGTCTTTATAATGAACCATTGTTTGCAAAATGTGAAAACTCAGTAAGATTCAGTGTCCTTGAAGTTCTGGGTAATATCTTGGAAACGTGATTCCATTGTTCCTATGCTAATAGCCCATGTGAAATCTTCTCTTACCAGCCAAAGCACAGTGTTCCCTTCCGAAGGCTGATATCTTCCTTCAAAGGGAAAAGAAATGTCAAGGACCCCTAAAATAAAGAACTTTGTAAAAAAAAAAAGAGAGAGATTGTGTCCTGCCAATGAATAAATAATTATGTTTTAAAGTGACCTCAAGAAAACTTGGGCATGGAAAAAGTTAAATCTGGATAGGTTGTCCGCATAAGGTTTGCAAGGAAAGCCCAACATCAGATAATCCATAGGAATCCTTTGCCCTTTCAAATATTTTGGACTAACTTTGACTAAAGGATTGTGGGAATTATAACCCAAAACAACAAGAGGAACCAGGATACCCCAACCCAATATACAGGCTTCTCAGTTCTCTGATCAAGGAAATTTGTCAGAAGCAGTACTACTTACGTAGTATGGTGTGGTTTCTTTGGGCAGACAAGATTTACGGTTGTTGTGGGTTTTCTGGGCTGTATGGCCATGTTCCAGAAGCATTCTCTCCTAATGTTTCACCAGCATCTATGGTGAGCATCCCCAGAGATTGTGAGGTCTCTTGGAAACTAGGAAAATGGGGTTTATATATCTGTGGAATTCCCAGGATGAGAGAAATAACTCTTGTCTGCCTAAAGCAAGTCTGAATGCTGCAATTGGCCACCTTGATTAGTATTCAATGGCCTTTCAGCTTCAAAGCCAGGTTGGTTCCTGCCTGGGGGATCCTTTGTTGGGAGGTGCTAATTGGTTCTGATTGATTCCAGTCTGGAATTCCTGTTTTTGAATGTTGTCCTTTATTTACTGCTATGATTTTAGAGGGTTTTTTTAAATACTGGTAGCTAGATTTTGTTCATTTTCATGGTTTCTTCCATGTGGATTTCAATGGCTTCTTTGTATAGTCTGAAATCTAAAATTATAACAATAAATAAAGAACAATAGTAAAAAACAGGGGAATTCCAGACAAGAAACAATCCGGCTCAGCTAATCACCTCCCAACAAAGTATTCTCCCAGGCAGTAAGAAAACAGACCTTGAAACTGCTAGGCCATTAAATGCTAATTGAGGTGGTCAATTGAAATATTCACACCTACCACAAACAGACAGTTATTTCTCCCATCCTGGACATTCCACAGATATATAAACCCAAGTTTCCTAGTTTCCAACAAACCTCACAACATCTGAGGATACCTGCCATAGATGTGGGCAAAATGTCAGGAGAGAATGCTTCTAGAACATAGCCATACAGCCTGGGAAACTCACAACAACCCGGTGATTCTGGCCACGAAAGCCTTTGACAATAAGATTTATGGTATTTTTGTAGTTTTTAATATGGCTGAACTTGCCTTTTTCACAAACAAAAGGGATGGTAAACCTTCAGCCCATAAACTTGTTCTTCGGGGCATGTTCCTTTTTTCCAGTGGTATGTATAGGAAACACCCTTCACGTATTACCAGTTTAACTGATCTTCCCCTTTTCCTTTCTGCAAGGAAGTTCAACATTTTGGCCCCAGTTAGTGACTGGAGATAAATGCAAAACTTCAACAAATCCATTTAAACTTTCTGCACCCTTCTTTGATCTCTCCCACCATTACAGTCCCTACATTGCGAAGGGTATTTACTCTTCAAATAAAACAGAGCTTGTAGTGAAAGCATTTTTATGGGGGCTTCCTTCCAAGTTGACATGTCCACACTGGAGCTCAACTTTGCCTTTGCGAGAGCTCTTTGCAGTTGAGCAGACTTTGAAGAGCCAGCATGCTAAAGTGGTTGAGCATTGAACTACGAATCTGGAGACTAAGGGCACATCTACACTGAGCATTTAAAAGGTAAAGGTTTCCCCTTAACATTAAGTCTAGTCATGTCTGACTCTGGGGGATGGTGCACATCTCCATTTCTAAGCCGAAGAGCTGGTGTTGTCCATAGATGCCTCCAAGGTCATGTGGCAAGCATGACTGCATGGAGCACCGTTACCTTCCCGCAGAAGTGGTTCCTATTGATCTACTCACATTTCCATGGTTTCGAACTGCTAGGTTGGCAGAAGCTGGGCACTTAATGTGATTTAAAGGTGGCTTGAGAATGCAATGTCCAAATGACACACGCTGCAAACATGCACAGCAGTACACATTACAGGCTTTAAAATGGCATAAGAAAATTTGGGGGATACTTTGAAACAGAGCCCATAATGTGCATCAGTAAGCATAAGTGTAAACCACATTGCATCTGGTCAAGGAACAGGTGATCCACATACATATTGTGATGCATGGGAGATTGAAAAATAAAACATCAATTTTTCCATGGCTGGAAGACAAACATATGGCAGATTTTGGAACTAGGTTGAAGCCAATCTCTGTGGTGCATATAAGCACCATCCAGGACTTGGCTCACATGTAATCAGTTCCATTTTGAACTCACTTCCTCTTCTGCAGGCTTAACCCTGCCTTAAGTGGCCAATGTAGATGTGCCCAGGATTCAACTCCCCACTCAGCCATGGAAACCCACTTTGTGACCTTGCCCAAAGCATGCAAACTTAGCCTCCAAAAAAGGCAAAGGCAGAACCTCTCTGAATAAGTCTTGTCTCTATGATAAGTTCCTCTTAGTGTTGCCATCCGTTGGAAATGTCTTGAAGACACAAACAACAACAACAACAACAACAACAACGCAACAACTTGGGGATACTACTATTGTCCCAGATCCTGGGGTTCGTACTCAGTGTGCTAGCACCAATGTTTCCTAATCGAGACATGCAGAACTGAGGGCAGAATCAGAGGTTTGTTGTTTTGATGGCCAAAGGATGTTGGGGAAGAAATCTCAGATCTGACATGTCCTCCATTTACATACACCAGTGTTTTATAGACATTTGAGAATAATAAACTTTTCTCTGATTGACACTTTTCTCTGATTACGATCTGCTGTCTTTTTGGTTCAAAGTACCTTCCTTGTCATGTTTTACAGTTTGTGATTGGCAGAGTGTGTATGGCAGAGATGATAATAAAGTTTTCATTGGAGGAGTCTGAATCCATCTCCTTTAGGCTGGAGGCAGGGAACTGAGTGCTAATTTGAGGACAATCAGGGTGAGATGGCCCTTAGGTGATTCCCTTGATGAAACAGTGGGATATATCTACCTTGTATGGTAGGCTTCCAGTACAGCTGTTATTGGTATTCCTGATCTATTATTCAGCCCTGGTGGCTTGGCTAATGAAGAAGTCCTGGTGACTTGTGCCGATTGTGTTGCAGGAAGAGAACTAGATGAAATTTCTTGCAAGGGGGGTTTCCTGCTAAAGTAAAGCAGGGCATTATTAGGTCATCAGCCAGGCTCTGATTTTTAGGGTTTGCGTTTTTGGACAACACTACTGAAGTAGTGTCATCTGAAAATCCAATCCCTTAAATTGTTTCATCAATAAGACAGCAGATTGTAATCTGTACTTGCAGTATGTACTTAATGTCTACAGGCACTCTGATGCAGAACTTCTAAAAACTACTTTTGGATTGCATTTCTCAGAATCCCCAAACTCTGCTCAGATGAAGACGTATCTTGCAGCTGTGTGAGTGTATTGTTACAAACATTATTCAGCAAGAAGAGTGAGGAATCTCTTGTCTGCAAGGCTATACTCAAACAGTTACCTTCTTGAACACCCCCAGAGGTACCTCCCGTCCTTCATACTGCAATAACCAAACTGTTTCAGATGGAAGGATATAGATACATTGATGAAGTGCATCATAAACAAAGAAAAAACTTATAGTCACAGACTGTTAAATGCAAAGTGTCTCATATAATTGCCTTTTTCAATAGCTGGAATGAAATAATAATGGATTTTAATTAAATATGAAATAGCGGGTTGGTCCTTCTTTTCCATAAGTGTCACTGAGGTCCATGAGGTGTTTGGTTTTCAGGAGATGGCTTGCTGTATGCTGGTTCTGCTTCCCAATGTGGTGCATTTCATACAGCTGCTTTCGCCAATGAGCAACTTGCTGCAGGCGGCGTGTAGTATCAGGACGTCCCAGCCAAGGTACCTCAAAGGAAGAAGCAACATTTCAGGAGTATGGCACCACATTGAGATAAAACAGAGCTTGGGAAAATAACTGCTTTTGGACTACAGTCTCCAGAATCCTTCAGTAATCATAGCCCCATTGTGCCCAATCTGTGGTCAGTGGACCACCGTTGGTCCCCAAGAGTTAAAATATGGTCCAAGGCCTCAACATTACTACACAGTTACAACAAGAGCGATTAGTCTCGCGAAACCCTCTTATAGTGCCAAGGCAACAGGGTTGTCAGGAGGTGAGAGGCTGACTACCCATGAAAGGCACAACAACAAGCCTCCTGACTGCTGCTTCTCCTCCTCCCTCCCCCTGAGCAGAGCCATTCCATGTGGTGCCTGGAAGCTGGGGGTGCCTTGGTGTCTTCATTTTTAGGCTTATTCCTGGAGCTATTTGGAGTGCTGATTCAGAAAACTGCACTGGATAGACCACATCAGCCCTAGATTATTATATATGGTTTTCTGTGGGCAAGCAGATGGTAACTACTGGGGACATCTCTGGCCTTCTGTTTAGACCCAGCTGCCGCCTCTGGCCTCTGCTGGGGATAAGAGCACCCGACACCCAGTCTAAGGAGGCGAGGCCTAAGGAGGTGGCATCGTGACCCTCCTCAGTTGGCCAATCAACCCATCTGGGGGTCGTGACCCTCAGGTTGAGAACTGCTGCACTCTATGGTTTAGATCCAGACTATCTGATATATCATTCTCTCCATACATTTTTAATTACTATTTCTGGGAGCCGCATTGGATACCACTCTGGGAGAAAGGTGGCATACATACAAACAAACAACATTATCTATTGGATCTAGCTCAGGCATAGACAAATTTCAGCCCTCCAGGTTTTTTGGACTTCAGCTCCCACAGTCCCTAACAACTTCAGGCCCGTTCCTTTCCCCCCTCATCCGATTAAGTGACTTGGGGGGGGGGAGGAAATTCCTGAGGCTGTTAGGAATTGTGGGTGTTGAAGTCCAAAACACTTGGAGGGCCCAAGTTTGCCCATGCCTGCTTTAACTCAAAGCAACTTTCTCACCTGCTGAGAGAGCAAGAGGCCCTTCTTAGCAGCTGCAACTTCACGTTGGTGCTTTGGTTCTTCATGCAGAGCCTTCCAGACTTCCTCAGCACCCAGACCTATGTAACAGAGAAAGTGGATGTACCATCAAACAGGTCACCATAAACAAAATAAAACAAAACAATACAATCAACTGTCAATTTATATCTGGGGCTCAAGAACAGGCGCTTCAGATAAATTGCATCAAGACAAATATCAAAAAATAAAAACAAATAATAAATGGCATCTATTAAAAGAAAAAGGCCCCCTTTTTATTTCATGCAAAAAGATTGCACACACCAAATATAAGGAACACCATGACAAAGTGATTGCAATGACAAATTAGTATCATGCAAAAGTATGATTTATCACCTGTAAAGATCTGGTGGGAACATATGCTTGAAAAAGTTATGTATGTGTATGAGGCCTGCTTGAAGCATAAATGATGCTTAGATGTGGATCCCATCCCAAAGATATCTCATTATGTACATTGATGCAAGCACAGGTATTACAAAATCTTAAAAAAATCCAAAATCCAAAACATTTCTGGTCCTGAGCATTTTGAATAAAGGATTCTCAACCTGTTTTGCTTTCCATCCTGCTGAATTCTGCATAAACTGCCAAAACACTGCTGAAGTCTCCCAAATTGAGAAAAGGCACTAATTAATTCTGATACATCAGACAGCACATATTAAAATAACTGTCAGGAGGGAGAGAGAAAAATAGTGTCCCAAATTTGATATCGTTCCAGTCATGGCTACCAGAAGAACTTGGCTGGATTTGCCCCCACACGTCCTGTCCTAGGAGCTCTGTCATTCTCTGTGTTAATTAATGTAATTAATGTAATTAATGTAACAACAGGTTAGAGGTTTGCATCTGGGGACAGCGCGGATGAGCTCCCTCTGTCAGTTCCAGCTCCCCATGCAGGGACATGAGAGAAGCCTCCCCATGCAGGGAGATGAGAGAAGGATTGTAAAACATAAAAACATCCGGGCATTCCCTGGGCAACGTCCTTGCAGATGACCAATTCTCTCACACCAGAATCGACTTGCAGTTTCTCAAAAAAAAATGTAATGATAAAGGTCATGACCATCATCCTCCAAGTTATAAACTGCAAACAGTTTAGCATCTCTGTTTCACTGAGTCCCATGAGAAGGATGAAGGAAAGTTGTACTGAACTAGAAAAGCCATACCTAGACTGACCAACAGCAGGCGCTTGACTCGAGGGCTCATTGGCTTTTCCTTGGCTGGTGGAGGATGCAAGAAGTATGAGGCTCCCTCAGTGCCCAGAAGACTAGGGAAAAAACAAATCCATGAATTGGGGACCACAGTGCCAAACCACCCTTCTTGTTGTTTGGTCTCAAGTTGTTCAGTCTCAAGTTGGCTTTGACCTGTGGTGGCCCTATGAACAAGAGACCTCATCAACAGCCTTGCTCATGTCTTGCAATCTGAGGGCCGTAGCTTTGTTCATTGAGTCCAATGGTTCCCAACTTTTTTTGACCAGGGACCACTTTGACAGGGACTACTCTTCAACATTAGTATCAAAAGGGTTACAAATCAGTTTTGGGTCAACTTTAGATTCAGTCTGGTTATTTGGGGTGCTGATTCAGAAAATTGCATTGGATAGACAACATCTGCTCTAGTTTCTAGTACATAACATATGCCATCCAGTAGTCACCACCTGCTTGTCCATAGAAAACCATATTTAATAATCTAGAGCTGATGTGGCAGTAGTAATCTTTCATGGGAAGTCAACCTCTCCGCTCCCAATATCCCTGTTGCATCAGCACTATAAGAGGGTTTCATGAGACCAGTAGCTCTGGTTGCCATGTGGTTTCGAAGCAACGGTGTAGTAATGGTGAGGCCACAGACCATATTTTTGTTCTTGTGGACCACTGGTGGTCCACTGATTTAGTCTATCTACCTGGGATGTGATCTTCTACTATATTAAATAAAATGTTATGTCTGGTTCCACTCTTTTGTCTTAGCCATCCATGGAATTTGCTCCCTACAGATATCTCTGAAATTGAATGATAGAATCATAGAGTTGGAAGAGACCCAAGGGCCATCTTGCCCAACCCCATTCTACCATGCAGGAAAATGCAATCCAAACTTCCCTAGCAAATAGCCACCTAGCCTTTATATAAATACTTCCAGGAAAGGAGACTCCACCACACTCAGAGGCAATATAGTCGTAATGTTTAGGTGGGATCTCTTTTCGTACAGTTTGAATTCATTCCTCCAATGTGTCCTATTCTCCAGGGCAGCAGAAAACAAGCTTGTCCCCTCTTCAATATGATATCCTTTCCAATATTTAAACATGGCTATCATGTCCTCTCTCAGCCTTCTTTTCTCCAAGCTAAACCTGTCATTCCTCATAGGGCTTGGCTTCCAGATCTTTGACCATTTTGGTCACCCTTATCTGGACACATTCCCAACTTTAGACCACAGTCTGGAAGATCTGTCTTACTTTTCATTTCACATTGTCAGCTGATTACTGACTTTTGGTCAGCTGATGATTTTCCACCATCATCAGTCCCATTTCGGGGTCTGAGACTCTAGGTTACCTAGAACATATTATTTTATAATAAAGAAATGTATTTGTTCCTTCCATATGATGCAAGTTTTAATATTAAAAGACAGGAAACTTTTTTTTGCTATTCCCTTGAACTTCTTTTCAACTTATGGCAACTCAAAGACAAACTCATCACAGTTTTCTTGAAACTGTCCAGAGATTGTTTTGTCTTTACCTTCCTCTGAGGCTAAAAAAATGTAATTTGCCCAGGTTCACTCAATGAGTTTCCATGGTTGAGTGGAGATTCAAACCCTCGTCTCTAGAGTAGTAGCTCAACACTCAAACCACTACACCATGCCAACTCTCTGGCCTTTAAATAGAGAGTCAACATGAAAGGGCACTTTGAGAATTAGACTACAACGCAAAATGCATTGACTGATGTTGGGCAAATGGCATTGTCTCAGCCCTAGATACAAACGACCTCTGAACAAATCTCACCAAGAATATCTTTGAGAAGCTTGCAAAAAAAGGGGGGGGGGGAAATAGACATGCTGTACAAGGGATTATGGGAAGTTTAATCCAAAAGTGTGACCTTTATTATCAACACATTAGGCTGACTCCATGGGTTTGGGGGATTTCTTACTTTGATCCTATAATCCAAGAGGAAACCCAGCATTTACCTGTGGAGATACTGTTGGTAGTCGGGCAATGGTTTTCCTGGTACATCTTTCTCTTGCATCCTTCTTTGCATGTACCATTTTCCTGTGCCTTTGGAGCTAATCCACTTGTGGTAATCTTGGCTTTGTCTTGCATGAAGAGATCCCATGCGGTTTGGATATGCCATCATCTCTTGCTAGAACTGGAGCACAACAAGGGTTGAACCAGAGTATTCTTTCCTTCCTTTCTGAACTTTCCAGTGCCAACCTCTTCCCTTCCATTCACTGCTCCCTATTCCTATTCCTTTCTATCAAAACAGCCCTTCAATTAGATCTATCTATGACTAACCTCCTGGATTTCTGTGTACAGTATAGGGCTTGATCTGCAAGACTGCAGTATAGAGCCTCTTTCAGTCTCTTGTTTGAATGTGTTGTCATGACACTCCTGACTCTATGAATCATATAATCCACACTCAGAGCTACTTCCATGTAATGAAATGATGGACGGACAGACAAAAGGAAGGACGGACATTGTTGCCATATGACTTGAAATTAAAAAGAAAGAAATTGGAAAGTTAAAAAGAAAGAAATTGGAAAGTTATGCAGTTAGTGCTGGCATTTGATAGAATACAGTCCCTGGTGGTGCAGAGGGTTAAACCGCTGAGCTGCTGAACTTGCTTACTGAAAGGTTTCTGGTTTGAATCCGGGGAGCGGGATAAGCTCCCACTGTTAGCCCCAGCTTCTGCCAACTTAGCAATGTGAAAGCATGCAAATGTGGGTAGTCCCCCACCCAAATACTAACCAGAACTGGCTCTGCATAGTTTCCATATTCAGACAGGATATGATGCCTTTAGTCCAAGAACCTGGGTAGCCAGAGTTCAAATTCCCACTTGATTGTGGAAACTCACTGGGAGGTCTTGGGGTAGTTGCTCTCTCTCTCAGCCTTAAAGGAAGGCTGTGGCATCCCCTCTCTAAAACAATCTTGGCAAGAAAACCATGCTGTAAGCTGCCTTGAGTCCCCTCGGGGTCGAGAAAGGCAGGATCTAAAGATAGTAAATAAATAAATAATAAAAAATGAAAGTGTTATGTGATTTCAGCTCTGCAAGAATTGTGAGTTCAGGGTCCCAGCAAATCTAGCTCCAATCCAAAAAAAAAATGCACAGCAGGGTGAAAGCAAGAACCAGAGGTTTTATTCACTTTGGCCAAAGTGGATGTCAGGAGAATCAGCATTCTCAAATCTAACATAAAGGTAATGAATACAAACAGACATTTACAGGATTTTTACAGTTATTCAAAAAATGGGCTTTAGCTTCCCAAGTGCTGACTGGTGCAGCTTGATGCTGGCTAGGATCTGCATGCTGATTGATTTAAACTCGCCATCTGCCGCTGCTGCTGATTGGACTCAGAGTCTGACGGGAACTTTAATAAACTGTCATTGCTCAACTTGAAGTTTGTGGCTGTTTCTTGGTCACCTCTAGCGGGTACATGCGGAAAAGGAATGTGAGTAGGGTCCAAACAGATGGGGGCTAATGACTGTATTTATGACAGCCTGGGTGAGGACAATGGATCTAGGCTGGAGAAACAATGGGTGGCAATGGGTGTTGGCATGCTTGAGTGGGTTCCCAGAAACAGACATTGTGCAACTTTCGTGACCTTTTGGTCTAAATTCATTGTTGGGTGCATAGAGGTATTGTTAGGGGATTATGCCTTCTGCCTGAAGAAATGATAGGATTTGCCCTGGTGTGTGTATAGGTTCTTGTGCAACTTTGTAGATTCAGGCTAGAGATTGTCTGTAGAGATTACCCAAACTGGGTTTCTAGGGGAAAAGTTACCTATGGACCCTATGACTGGGACACTTGGAAATCCTGGAGCAGTGG